ACATTAACACTTATTTCAGTACAAAGATCAAGTACCTAAACTTCTACGTTCATGGCTCATGTATAAATATACATGTAGTGACTGTAAGGTCACGTACATTGGCAAAAGGAAAAGCCACTTAAAAAACTAGAGTCTTTGGTCGTTTAGGAGTATCTAACAGAACCAACCATCCATTTAAACCCAGCCACTCATCTATTCACTCACATTCTGAAAACACAGGTCACAATATTTCATTTAACAATTTCTCTATCATTACCACAGGGTCTTCAGATCTTCAACTCTACATTAAAGAAAGTTTACTCACAGCTAAAGACCTCCTGACCCTTAATGACTCACAAAGCTCTTTAGATTTAAAATTGTTCTAAATATTCACACTTAACTCAGCTGTTGTGTAATATATATATATAAACATTGTTTCATCCATCCATTTACCATTTTTCTTAATGAATAATTAAACTAATGATTATGTTATTATGTTATAATTTTAGTAATAATCATCTTTGTAATACAATTTTCAGATTTTGCCAAAGATGGAATAAGTTATTCCAAAACATTCGAACCTTGTAAATAAAATGTTTTATGTTTTATCAACCATCTTCATCTTCATTATTAAACTTTGGTTTCTCCATCATGAATCCATTGCTTAAGTTAATATGTAATGACAAGCAGGTTAGTTGGTTGGACTTGAGGGATCATTTCAATGGGAAAGGGAAGCTTTTCACAATGGGTGGTTTACATTTAAATAGAATAAGGACTGGCTTGTTTGCAAGGGCTATTAAATACTCAACTGTAATGGCAGATTTAAACTAGGACTAGAAGGTGATGAGAGCCAGAATAATGAAGAAAAATAAGATTTATAGAAAATTATAGTTAAGGAAAAAACTACAGAAGTAGTTTCAATGGTAGGCTGAACTATTATTACTGTAATGCTAGAAGTATAAGAAATAAAGCATAACTTTATAGAGCACTAGTGAGAACAAAGCGTATATATACATAATAAGAAAAGATAAAACCTGGCTAAATATAAGCAATTTTGAGGAAATACTTTTTTCTGAAATACAGGGTTATAGGTTGTTTAACAAGGATAGAATACCAAATAGGAGGGAAGAGTGGTTTAATATGTAGAATGTGAGTTACGTCTTGATGAGAGTATAAAAGCTAATAGCAATAATGTTGAATCTACCTGAATTTCTGTAATTCTACAGTGAGATAAAGAATTCAGCTGTTAATGAGATCATCATTATAGAGGATTTTAGTGTCAGGCATACAGATTAGGAAATGTTTAAATCAAATCACATTCCCTTGACTGTGGTTTCACTAAACAGTAGATAGGAACAGTGGGAATCTCATTAATCCATTCATGCCCATCACTAATTAGATTCCAAATGCCTCATTCTCTTAAGGTAGGGAAGGAAACTGTGACCATGAATGGAGTTCCCTAACCAGTTGGCATCTAATTAGTGATGAGAATGAGGCATTTGG